GTACCTATGATAGTGGAGTAATAATAATAATAAAACTGTAAACACTGGATTACGCCTTAATTATTTAACTTCACTTTAGACAAATAAATTATTTAATTGAAACCTGGACAAAACTTAGCTTTAAAAACAGGATGTCTGATTTGTAACCCCCATAAAAACTGTCATGAATGGATAAAGTAGAAGGTGCTAATCTCTACAGTGTTAAAAAAAAACAGGTCTATGCTTAAAAGCCAGGTATGATCCAACATATACGAACTCTACAGATTCTGATAACAGTAATGGTCAAATATCCAGCCAGAATTATTCTAAACACCTTTCAGTGGCTACAAAAAGGTATGTAGTCATATTTAGACTGCTAAAGATGAGATACACCCATTATACATTTTATCTTAGGCAGCCAATTCAGTTTTTTTGTAATAGCGTTCAAGTCTTATCTTTATATTGACTTCCTAAAAATAAACATTTGTAAAAAAAAAAAAAAAAAATATATATTAATAGTCAAAATGTTTATAACTTCCATGACAAGGAATTATGAGTATATGTAAACTTCTGGTCACTTTTGTTTGTCTTTGTGTTTTAGATTAGGCTTTTGTACAAATTCTGAATTATTGAAATCATTGCCACTTTTATTCAGCTAAATCTACTCTCTTTAGCCTGTTGGTGCCCAAGAGGGTGATCCAGATGATGACCATAATAGAAGCATGAAAAGAAGAATCTCATTTACTCCAGAAATACCTACGGGTTAGTACAGACTTGTAAAGTATTCTCTGCAGTCACAATTATGCACGTTTTTGTTGTTTCCTAACAACATGTGCTCTCTGTGGAATTTACTTGGTGCTATTTCCACTGACTTTCTTCGGTTAATATTCCCCAGGAGAAAACAAGGAAGAGGATAAAGATTTCCAAAAGGAGAGAGGCTCTAACTCGTGTCTGAAGAGGTGTTCAGTGGCTCTTGGTTCTTCCTCACTCAGTGTTCCAGTATTGGACTCCGATATTATTGTCAGAGAAGGTCTGGACAGAAGACCCTGTATAGAAGGTACAATAACTTATATATAGCTGCAGTGCAGATATGATTCAACCGACGCCAATATCTCAGAGTTTGCTGCGTTTGATGAGAACCTTGGATAATAATTAAGTATAATACTTGAAATGTTTGTGTTCCAATTTTTTTTTTTATTTAACCAATTGCTTGTCCAATTTTTGTAACAAAATATGAGAGCTGATTGTACAGTATGTGCTTAGTAACTTAGGAAATTGGACATATGGAGGACAAAAGACGTATAAGTGAATCAATGATTAAGGATGGATGGATGGATGGATGGATGGATGGATGGATGGATGGATGGATGGATGGATGGATGGATGGATGGATGGATGGATGGATGGATCTTACTAGTTAATAATTGATTAGTTGTTACTAACACACAACCATTGCAAAAATATCATATCCTTTTTTAAGAAAATCACTTTGACCCTTTTTAGTAACGTAACAGCTGGGACATCCTCTTATTTAAACACTGAGTTTTTCCCATAATTTCACACCATTCATTGAAATGCAGATTCTTTTCATGTTGTTTGGAGCACATAATACTTTGAAATTTAGATTATTTCTGTAATTATACACTCCCTCTCTCGCAATCTGTCTAGTAGCCCTTTTCTGCAGTGTCCATTGTGATTTGAGTGATTTCCTGTTGGTGTTACCCAAGACTTCTACACAATTAAGACACAATTTACTTTTTTTTTAAGACTTTGCGGAAAATAAATCCACCAAATACATGAAACAGGACCTGAGAGATTAATTCCTCTACACCCAATTGTTTTTGGTGTGAAAACAGTTCAGCTTTTAAAATTAAAACATTTCTGACAATTGGCAAATCCGCAGCTAAAAAAGTCTACTTAAAGCAATCTTTCGAAAAGCTACATTCACTAAGTTTTGTTTCATGAAACTTTTCTGTTTACTTGAATTAATTAATGAATGAATTAATTAATTAATTGACATAACTGGTCCTTTTACTTGTGTGACATGTTGAATTTAAACTCTAAAATAATTTTTTTAAACCTTCCCTTCGCAGTTAAGGTTCTACAACAGTATTGTAAACTCATTTAGAACACCAGCAATGATGGCTTGGTTATAACAAGTGTACAACTAAAATACTTAAAATAATTTCCTTATTATCATCTGAAACAATTCAGCCTATCATGCTCTGTTAGTTTCTGAACTATTCAGAGCAGCACATCTATTCCTTTGCAATAAAGAATGTGTCAAATGTTTATTTTAATGTAAAAAAAAAAAAAAACATGTTCTATTCCACTTATCCTAAGATTCTGCTGTACAACATTGTTTTTATATTGCAGACAACCAGTGATGTGACTGGAACAAAATATAAAACTTGTCTACCTTTAACCTGCCTTTAACTTATGCTTTGCCAAACCCACTTTCGAAGAACATCACTACAGATCAAATTGTTGAACAAGCCTTGTCGTTGTTTAAACCTACGAAAGGGGGCACAGTACATATCACAGGACAGCAGGTTGGAAACTACCATATGCCCAGTAGAGATAACAACAGGGCAAACATTGCTGTAAGAGTCCACCTGCAACAAAAGCTTGATAGATTACAAGGACGAACCAACATGGTGCTCCAGTGTGAAGATTAATTAGGTTCTATTTTAGTTTTCTTTTTGTGTGGTGAGGACATTGTTCTGAGCCACATATGAAAAATGTAAAGCACATGTGGTGGTGTGGTTTTCCAGATCTTCGTTGTGATAAATGGGCCTGTAAGAAGCCTGCGGACTATCTGGATGAGTCAGCACAGATCCCGGACCTGAGAGAGGATGATAATTCTCCCAGCGAAATCACATACGGAGAGGTGGAACAACGCTTAGGTCAGCTTCAGGAGCACTTAAACAGGTACAGGTTTTTAGAGTCGGCAAAAAGGAGGTCTATCACATTTTTTGAGTGGGAACTTAATTGATTTATATAAATACACTTGTCCTTTCCACAGGTAAATCCAAGTGTAATATTTTTTCCCATGCCTTTTTTTCTATCACTAAACAGGTACAGTTCAATAAGTCCTTTCTCTGTTTAGCTGCTTTGAGACCTGTCCAACATCTTGTACTTGGCAAATTTCCCCAAGATATGTACATTGAAAAACACAAGTATAATAAAGAAGGAATAAACAGAAATGTTAAAAGAGAGCACTTACAAATTATACTGATGTAATCAGTCAACCTAACTTTAACAATAAATGTTCACTTTTATTATGTTGGTAAGGATGTAATTAGGCAGGATTGTAAATATTATAACAACTGAGAGTTAATGACTTTAATGGCATGTAGGTATTACATTGAACAAAAAGCTGTTCAAAGTAAAAATCCAGCTTACACTAGGGGGGTGAGAGAATGAGCATAAACTATATTTTCTTCTATATTTTTTCATTTTCTAATATAAATGTGTCTGGGTGATATTGTTTTATTTATTTATTTACTTGTCACCTCCCACTCTATTAAAAGGACAGAAAACCAGTATTACATGTTCACGAGTAGGAGGAGGAGGAAGACAACGAGCTGGCAGATTCTCTTGTAGGACTCAGAGTGGGAGTCAGGATCTACTGGAAGGACGTTATAGTAATGCATCCCTACAGAACCGCAGCATATTAAACTCGAGAATGAGTTGGAGAAAAGTCTGTGCTATTTTTAACTAGTGCTAAATAGAACCAAGGGAAAAAAGGATGACTAAGTACAAAGTCTGAAAGAACAACGTGACAATAAAGAAGCTATGTTTTTCAGTGTCTTTTCCATTAACAAACATTTTTTTCTTACCGTTTTGTGAATGAGGAAAATCGTCAGTCTTGCATTAAGCAGTATGCTAGCAGTCTTTCTGAACTGCAGGAGCTATTTTTGGCTACTGTACAAGTGTAGCAGGGAATCAGTGAGGGTATCAGGATTCCTGAAAATTGGCAGAGCCCATTTTACCTGCCTCAAATATTACATTTTGCTCACTGCTCTAGGCCTCACCTCCTTTTATATCTAATGCACAATGGCTACAGCATCCACAGCACTTTTCTGGCATGTTGTGTTTTCCTGGCTTTGTCAAGCCTGGAAGCATGTGGCAGAGGAGGGGAAATGGGGATATAACAGCTTCTGCAAAAGATTCTTTACAAAAAAAATAGCCCCCTAAATCAGTTTGCTACATTAAAAATAGATATGGTACTGCATGTGAAACTCATTTTGCCTCCAGTAAAATAGTCGAGTGATATCTGGTCATAGCTAGATTGTCTTAACTAAGATAATAAACTAATTTGCACAATAAATTGTGAACTCACACCTCCCACCCAAAGCTAATTATCACTCATTGCTGAAGCAGTATTAGTCTTCCAGCATGTACTTCCACACCTTTACAGTCTTCATCATTCCGCCAAAAAGAAGCACAGAGGCTCCATCTACTGCTCATTGAAAACTAGCAAAGGGTGTTATCGGACCTTATAAGTCTAATCCAGAATTAATCATTCGACCCTTCTTGTTTGGCTTCTAACTGGAATTCATCTTCATTTAACTTTTTTGGTCTTTCCTCAGGTTGGAGTCGCAGCTGATATCAGATATTCAAACAATTCTTCAGATGTTGCAGAGACAGCCAACTTTGGGACCCCCTGCCTACAGCACTGTGACTGCCAGTCCCGAATATCAAAGACCTGCTGTAAAGGTTCATCCAGTTGCTCTGTCTTTAAGTCATTTATTCTGCCATACACACTAAAGTATGGAAGCTTTTATATTCGGAAGACTGAAATTTCCTTAATTACTCCCATTTCTAATGTCTTTCTTTATTTGTTTTTTCTTACATTTTGGCAAGTTACAACCACAATTTTCTAGGTTTTTCTATGAGATTGTATGCAATACACCAACACAAGGTAGCAAGAACAAATGGAAATGAAAAATGTGTCATTGATTTGTTATCTATCTTTGTTCTAATAATTAGTTCCCACACAATGCCACCCTCCTTCACCATTAACATCTTAAAGAAATATACTTCAAGGGTGCTAAACTTTGATTAGAGGATGGATAGAGTTATAGTATATAATGCAATCCCTAAAATGATAAAGTTTGAGGCTGTAAGGCTCTATAACCTAGGATAAAGAATCACATTCAGTAGGACAAAGATTCTAAACATAAAACCAGCACTACACTGAGATCTTTGTTAAAGCTGGATAGTTTCCAGAAGGTTTCTATTTGATCTGATGGACATTTTTGCAAATAATAGATTAAATTATGTGAATTCAGTATGTTAAATCTGCACAACTGATACAGGTAAAACCCCAAAAGAATTTCAATTGCAAAAATGAAACCCCGGGGAGTCTGAATATACATAGACACCTCATATTTTACAGTAATTTGTCGACACATTTATAATCTGAATTGTTTTCACTGTTGTTCTATTTGTGCTGCTTTTACAGGTTTGTGGTTGTACCATGACAAAATGAAAGCATATATTTGAGATGCTAAGCCTTTTTAGAATGTGCTTATTGTAACAATTTCCTTCCCAGGCCACCAGCCAAAAACTGGAGAGCCCCATTCAGGAATCCAAAGACTCTGTGTCCAGCTTGGCCATTGTGAATGCAACTATAGAAGACAGCCTTACAGCATTTTTTGAACAAAGACATGCAGATGTGCATCAGCAGCAACAACAGACCACAGCTCATCAACAGTCAGCATTGATCCCTCTTCCAACTCAAGCCTCATCTGCATCCTGTTCTTCTCCATTGCCCTCAGACTCTGACCCCACCTCAGAAAGACATCCCAGACATGACTCAGATGGTGCAGAGTTTCCCAGGACATAAATTTCTCTTTAGCATCATTTGGGAATATCTGGGTATTATGAAGTTACCAATAGGTAGCTTATTTTTGTTTTTTTATCAGCATGCTAGCACAGACATCTGTTTTCACAATTTAAAGTAGGTATGTTAAGAAAAGGAGATTTTAGTTCATGTGCATGTGGGGATTTCACTTCAGTTAGGAAGAAGACAACTAACAAAAGTTGCATATTTTATCACCCTGTTTTAACATTATTTATAATGTACAAATTTTAATTATTACAATCTACATGAAACTAACTGCTATTTATTGGACAGAACGTCTTCTACTGGCATTAACACCTGGTTGTATTACTAAAACCAAAAGCAGTATGCCTAACTACCATTTTATAGGCTATTTTTCCAATACTGTGCTTTAATTCATATGTTCTCATCAGCTGTCAGTTCCATGCAATGTCATGTCAGAGTCAGCCAGAATGAACACCAACCAACTATTATATATATATATATATATATATATAAAACTGGCTGTGTCACTAGTATACCAGCCTATTTTCATCTACTTTATTCACTAGTACAGGGAAAAGTAACACGACAATCAGAGCAATGTGTCACTCTATAACATGTCTAAACAAGGAAAGCTGACTGACCTACCTCACACAGCTACTGATCTCTCCTAGAAAACATCTCTTTAAACGTTACTTCATCACATAAAGGGTTTTCTATTTTTTATACTAGTGTCAGTGGTTCCAAAATTTGAGAAATTCAGTGGATAGCCAAAATCCCTATTTAAGAGGGCTTGATAAGCAGCATGATATTCTGGGATGTCACCAAGAACATTAAGTCTTAACACTAACCTCGACTGTTAAAAATGTGTTTCTACCTAATCTAGTTGACATCGCAGGTGACAGGCAGTCAAATAAAACTACCTTAAATGCAGAGTTTGGACTAAAAGGGAGGGTTTAGTAACTCAATGGATTTATAAGTGGACAGGTGTTGGCCACCTGCCATCTAGTTTTATGCAGAATGGAAGAGAGCATTGATAGCAGAAGGCCTCAGACTCTGATTATGCATGGATACTCAGGATGTTGAAATGTTTCCAAGTCTTTCATTTCTGTGGTTTGAGGATCAGTTGAACCCTTCCTCCTTATTAGGTACACCCATTCAGCTGCTTTTTAACACAAAGCCAATCATATAGTGGCAATTTGTTGAAGAAACTGTTGCTTTAGTAGAAAATCAATGCATTGCCATCACTGAGGATTACAGTTAATGGCTCAGAAAAGAACAAAAATTTGGTGTGAGTGGGAGCTTTGCAGTTTGAAAGGGGCTGAATGGCAGCCAGTTTCTAACACTGTTGCCTAGCAAGCGGGTAACTGGTTCAATTCCTGGCCTAGGGTCTTTCTCGTGGAGTTTGCATGTTCTCCTTGTGCATGTGTGGGTTATTTCTGGGTACTCAGGCTTCCTTCTACAGTCCTAAAATCATCACTGTTAGCTTAATGGAGTCTCTAAGTTGCCCTTATGTTTGAGTCTCCATGTGCATGGTTGTATGTCTTTGTGTTGTCCTGCAGTGGTCTGGCAACCTGTCCAGGATGTCCTATAGAATGCTGCAGTAGGCTCCATCCTCCAATGACCCTGAAGGATTGAAATCTGCTTTTTTTTATGTCATTAAGGTGAATGTTTCAAGATAATTTGAAGGCCACAAAAGCCCAAACAACCATTTTCCACATCCAAAGAATGCAGATATCATATCTGGATGTTCCACACATTCAACTTTGAAGCAAAATATGGAACTAAGGCTACTTTTAACAGAGGCTCAGCAGATTGGACATACCGTAATCAGATTGTAAAACTATTCGCTGCAATGATTATTCTTAATTTAAGCTGGGACATTCTGATGGAAGGGTCAGAAATAATTAACTACAAGACAGTATGAATTTATCCTTAGTTGAATTAGCTGTTTTAGCTGAAGGTGTAATGGTTTTCGAGATCATTTTTTGGAAACCATTTGGCCCTTTAGTACTGAATGAAAATTATTTAAAAAGTTAGACTAGTGTCGACCTGTAATGTAACTATGTATTCATCATACTTTTCAATTACTTCCTTTAGCAGGATAATGTGCCATGTCCAAAGCTTAAATCATCTTAAAATCCAATCAGGTGCTAGCAGGATCTACTTAGTCAAATGGTCTGTTTGTGTTTATAATGGAGGCTGTCCAGGTGAAGCATCTGCTGTCAAGTCACAGAACACTCAATCACTCATTTTGATGTATTTAAATGGCAAGCAAAAGGAAAATCAAGCTTTTGGTGTTAATCAATATGCTGAACGGCCATCAATCTTTTCAAATTTGGCTGGCAGTTGGTTAGCCCAGATGTTGGTTCAAACTGTCGACCCTCTGCGGTCAGAGACCTTGAAAAGAGGGTGTGAGAAAAAGCGAGGCCTGGCACAGCTCTGTATCCTCATTAGAACCTGAAATGTGAAGAGGTGACTTTGTTACAGCAGGAAAACGATGACGCAGCTGTTCTTTCTTCACTTCCTGAAATCTTTGCATAGTACCTGACACTAAGGATCTGAAAAGGATGTGGTGGGAAAAAATGCATACTGCAAATTTCCTCTCCTGGGACAGAAGATATTGCATGATACTGGCTACATGGATACCCTTAACAGTCATTGCTGAACCTGGTCATTAAAATTATATTCAGTCTATATTCTGAATCCTATGTGGGTTAGACATACAACTATTTCCTAGAACTTTTAATGCAATTCAGCATTTTAACTGAGATGTGTGAACAGTTTGCTCATTTTTAGCTGTACATCTTTATTCTTTGCAGTGTGACTCAGGGTTTATGGATAATTGCACTGCAACAAACATCACAATATCCAGTAAACTAAACATCTAAATTATGTTCGGCTTTTTAATGGCAATTACTGATGTTCACAAACTGTACAATACTGAGCAAAATGCACCATGCATGCTTGTATGAGCAAATATTACAACATGCAGATTTGAGGATTATCTGTTGTTATCCCTCTCTCAGACACGCAGGTATGATGCAATGCATGTATCGCAAACTTTATTTAAAAACAATTTTGCACTGATTTCAAGCCCCAAAGTAGCACAATATAAAATGATGTCAGCATACACGTTTTCTATTTACAATATATATGTTTAGATGTGTTGAAGCAGAAAAAAAAAAATATATATATATATAGGATGTCACTGAACTGTACAATTGAACCTGTTCTTTAGTAGCCTCTAAACAGGTACTTGTGCCTATACAACCCATCCAAATGATAAACAGCCATCTTAATAAATAAATAAATAAATCATAAATGTATCCTTATGTATGCCCATATTATTTTGGATTATTTCCATTTAACTAAAAACTGAACTGTAACTGAACAGCTGTAAAGAAAATAAACTATTACTGTATAATGTAAATAATATTTTTTACTCTATCATTTATTCATATCTTGGAATTCTGTAATACACAATAGATTATGCTTGTTTTGAAGCTATGGAAGCAATAAAAGGAATAAAAAGAAAGCTTGAAGTTGTGTTACTCTTTTTTTTTTAAACCATTTTCCTTAGCATCTTAATTTACTTAAAACATAAGATTTTTGTTGCATGTTTTAAATGTAATATGATGTTTAGAAATATATTCAATCACATTTTCTAAGCTTAAGGTGTTGTTGGGTTAAGACAAGTGCTAGGTGAGTAAATGGGTGGCTGTGACCATTCAGGGCTGAATAATTGGGATTTGATTGAATGACAAAATAATACAGGTTAAGAATGAGGGATTGATCCCAATCAAATGTATTTGCATCTAAATTGTTGTCATAAGGAGTAATAAGGTTGGTCATGTTTTGGTCTTAATCCAATGTATTCTGTACTTCTAACCACTATATGTACAAACTCTGAATGGTTGTCAAGGTTTTGCTGGTTTTGGGGGCGTGACTGCGGGAAGATGGGGCATGGAAAGCTAAAATGGCTTGTCCAGACCAGGGCTGGATAAGGGGATTTTTGGTGCATGTTGTCTGCCTAATCTGAGAGGAATTTTTCTGCGTAAACAACAAAAACGTGCTCTGGGAGGCTCATTGTTATGGTTCACAGGGGCAAATTACTGCAAAACTAATAAACTAAGCTACACACAGAGGCATATATTTTTAACAACTATTTGAAAACGCAAAATTCAGCTTCTAAAAAAATTTTTATATTGCATAATACAGAAATGTTATGTAATGGTCTACATGAGGAAGACTCCTGACAGCAGACAGCTACTTACCGGCTCTACAGGAAGGAGAAGCCAAAATGGTACAGCTGACTGTTTGCAGAGTGAGCTATCCAGGCCTATAAATGGAAAGTTAAGTGGAAGAAAAATGTGTGGTCAAAAAAAGCTGTACAAGCAATAGGTATAACCATAGCCTTAGATGATTTTGAACAAAGCGAATTAAAAAGTTTGGGTGATATTCACAAAACAGACTGCAGCTGGAATCAGAGTTTCAAGACCCTCTATTGTCTTCATTTCATTGTGTCATTAGGTTAAGACTGGACTCACTTGATGAGATAAGTGGAGTGGAATTCTCCTGATGGAGAATTTCAGTTGAGCCACTGTATCATAATGATCGTATATATCTAAGACAAAGATGCACATCTATTTATACAGAGATCTAAAACCTCTGACCCTGCCGCGGGAGCGGGCGGCTAAGACAATAGAACAGCTGATAGAGCTGGAGCTGGTTGCTTCCCCTAACTGACCAATAGTTGTGGAGCTTAGCTGTGAAGGCTAGTGCACCTTATGGACAAAATGAGACATAAGTGCATGAATTAAAAGATAAAAAGTTAAATTCATTTTATTAAGAAAGTTTAAATAAAGTAAAAGAAAAACATATAGGCCCACAATAAGAACAAATCACATTATTTATTGTAAAGAAATGCAGAATAAAATAAAGGTAAACTTATTCATAAAATATGTTGTAAATTAAATGTAATATAAATTGATTCAAAAATTTTTTAATTGTTTTATTGGTGTATATTTGACTTATTTTGACCATTGTTATATTTAAACTTTTTTTATTAATTATGTCAGTGCTGGGCTCCGTATTTCAGAGTCTCTATATAATTCACTATATAAAAGCTTTTACTAGCAGTGTGTGACAACCAGTGGTGGTTCTAGACCAAATGTACCAGGGGGCCAGGAGGGGGCCAGAGTGTTTTCATGAGGGCACAGAAAAGCATGAAATAAAAAACATGGCAAAGGATTCAAATGTATTAAGAGAGCTGCATGAAGTGACATTTCTATTCAATGAGGTTGAATCAAAATTATATTTCTTAAGAGGTCAATATACATTCAATATACATTGATAATTTAGGAATTATACATATTTTTCCATTTCATTTAAGTTAAAAATACAATTTTCTATAAAATCTGAATTAGAGCTAAAGAAAAACTGATAAACTTAAATGTAAAAATAAGAGTTTTTTT